TATTGCAGGCCGGTGGTCACCAATTCGGCTTGTTGCATCTCATGGCCTGTACGATTTGATTTCCTGGCTTTATTGTTTTTCAGCGTGTTCCCTCGTGAGCTGAAGGAGGTATTTTCATCTTGGAAGCAGCAGTGCCTGAGCAGGGGCAAGCAGGACATCAGCGAACGCCTGATCAGTGCCTCCCTCTTCCTCCGCTTCCTCTGCCCCGCTATCATGTCCCCCAGCCTCTTCAGCCTCATGCAGGAGTATCCCGACGACCAGACATCTCGCACGCTCACGCTTATTGCGAAAGTCATTCAGAACCTCGCCAATTTTGCTAAGTAGGTGGTGGCAGTGGCACTGCGATCTGTGCCTCCAGGGTTCAAGTCACTGCGGGTGACTGTGGAGCGCGGAGAGCCCCGCTTGGTAGTCGTGTGTGTGCAGGCAGCGGATTCTCTGGCAAATTGAGATTGGCTTTAGAAAAGGAGGAAACTCCTCGCTTGTATGTGAACAGGGTTCCCCCTGAGACAGCTCGGGGCTGAGCTAGATCAATTCTCCTTTTCACATGCAGATTTGGGCTGTGTTGAATTCGGTAGAGGGGACACAGCATAAATCCAAGAAGAGCCGTACATTAGCATGTCAGTGTGTGTGCTATTTCAAAAGAGAAAAAGCCCGTTCCCACCAAGGATTTTCCTCCTTTCTTCCCTGAAATTCCCAGCTGAATGGTACAAAGGGCATGGTGTGTCTCTTACAGGGGAGGGGATGCAGAGAAGTGGAGAAGGGGCCTCTGTGGGAGGGAGAGGGGCAAGGTGTGTTGAGCCCTTAATTGCAATATGAACAGTGAATTACTGTATTTAAATAAGTCTGAGAAAGCAGTGAATCGCTTAAATTACCCTTGTTTGGTTGTTTTTTTTTTTTTATTTTCTCCCAGACCAAATCTTCAGAAAGGAAAGGTCTAAAGTTAAGCACTGAAGTAATTATAAGCACTTGTACTCTGTATTTTGTGTGGAGGTTATTGACTGGGTTTCCCCTCCTCCCTTTTCTTGCAGGTTTGGTAATAAGGAAGAGTATATGGCCTTCATGAATGACTTTTTGGAACACGAGTGGGGAGGAATGAAGCGTTTTCTTCTGGAGATCTCTAATCCGGATATTGCCTCAAACATGCCTGGATTCGAGGGCTACATCGACCTGGGCAGAGAGCTCTCAGTTTTGCATTCCCTCTTGTGGGAGGTTGTGTCCCAACTTGATAAGGTAAAGCAGGCTGGAGGCCCAGGAGGGCGAAGCCGGCGATCGTATCATAGCAACAGTAAACACTAGGAAACATCAGGGGAGCAGCTGAAGCCTGCTGTGGGAGAACTCAACCAACAGCTCTCGAGAGGAATGTTTGATAGCGGAATTTCACAAGTGTTCTTCCCGTGGTTTCAGATCAGGGCATGCGGGGTGGTTGGGCTTCAGCAGTAGCACAAACATTTTGCAGAGCCTGAAGTAAGGCCGGGTGTTAAATGGTGGAGAGGGCAACGCTTAGGTGTAGACCTGGAATTCCCTGAGCAGCTGTTCCTTTCTCCTAAGTGAGCTGGAAAAAAGGGAAGGTTGTTTGGGCAGCAAATGAAAACGTTGCAGTGCCCGTTTTGGTGCTCGTGGGCATACCTTGCGGCACACCAAGCCCTGCCCTGCCCAGCTCTGACCGAGGAATGTCTTGGCCAGGAAGAACTGTTCTCATTAAAGACCTGATCCAAAGCCTGCAGAGATGCTTTCGTTTCTGTAGCCTTTGGATTAGTTGTTAGTATGCGAGAGGATGCCATCTAAAAACCTGGTTCCGCTCTCAGTTTTATCCTGTAAAAAAAGCAAGGTGCTTTCTGCCGGGTATTGTGCTGGGGTCGTGTACGTTGTCCCCATTCTGTTCTGTGGATCGCAGTAGACATTGCCAACAGTAAGCATTGCTTCTGCTTAGCTACAGCAGAAGAAAAGGCAGCAGTTTGCTCTTCCTTAGCGATGTGGCTTTACAGAATCCAAAATCATTAAAACCTTGATAGTGAAGGTAGTTGATAAGACCCGGAACAGCTGAGCTATGAGTCACCATGGTTTTTTGCAAATGCTTGGAGCTGTTCCAGATTTCAGCTTTCAGAGGTGTGTTATTTTGTCCATGTTCCATTTATATTATTCTTTTTTTTTGAAACTGGAGAGGTGAGGTGCATTGCAATGCACTCTTAATTGTATCGCACAAAGGTTTGCCAAAATAGTTTTTTGTTGGGTATCTATTTTTGCACAATCCATTATTTAAAATAGAAAACAAAAAATTGAGCTCATTGCGTCAGAGTAAATTGCAATGTCACAGAGTCAAAAAGGCAATATATAGTAATCTTAGCTAGTCATAGTTTGATAGCGAATTTACGGTCTAGTTTTTCGATTTCCCTCATACGTGCACACAGTGTACTTTAAAAATGTCACAGGCAGCAAAGTCAGCCACAAGTTCAGCAGCCTCAGGAAAACAGGCAAAGCAAACACTCAAAAGACCAGATCCTCCATTTCTACAAACTGGGGTAAACCCACCGGTGCAGGGAACGCTGCCGTCTCCCTCCAAGCCGGTCAGGCGTCAGGTCAAGAGAAACCCAGCTCCGGTCTTCAGAACTGCAAATGGATCTTTTGGGCTTGGTGTTAGTTACTGCGAGCTGCTCTCCAAACGCAAAGGGGTTAAATGTCTTGGACAGCAAGGAAAGGGAGGAGCCAGACCTGGATAAGCTGTCAGAGCACATCTGCTCTGCCCTTGCTGTGGGTTAGATGCACGAATCCATTCAACAGGCCCTTGGGAGCTGGGGTAGCGGTTTGCTAAAAAGAGAATTAAGGGGTAAAGTTACATTGCGATGCTGCTTTACTGTAGGTAATGATGAGAGACGTCACCTCAGAGATTTTAATAGACACAGAAGCAGTGCTGTATGAAAGCGTCTGTAAAGAGACCTTTCTCTGGAGCCAAACTGACTGAACACCTGCTTACAGGAAAAATACGGATGTCTTTGAAAAGAACGTTATCTTTGCAGGAGAGTTTTACTTGATTATAAACCTCCAGTGCTTTCACCTCTTCCTGCTAGCCCAAGAGCCCAAAGGTGCCCTGTAGATGATATAACCAGCAGTGACCCAAAGAGGGGAGAAAGATACAGAGCCTGAACGAGCCGCCTTCCTGGCTGGAAGCTCAGCTGCTCTTACTGTAGCCTGACCAGCACTGAGCTAATATGTATTTGAACAAGAACGCATTTAATCCCAGGCTGATGTGATAATGCTGAGATGAGGATCATTGATGTTTCCATGCAGTTATTTCTCACTTTCAAGTAGGGAAGAACGCCTTAGCTTCTGACAGCAGGGTGCTACAGAAGGTGGCATCAGCGCAGGATGCTGAGAACGAAAGGCTTATGAAACGAAAACCTTCCCTTTCCCCATCTCCCTCAACCCTTGCGATCCTCTCATGATCCCCCTGAATGCCGCATCCCCTTGTCTGTTGGCATGCGTTTCCTTTACCACGTGACACCCTTTGCCTGGAAAGTTCCCCCCACCAGCTGAGTCTGTAGTCTGTGAATGCCCTTTAATGAGTAGATACCATAGTTTTCACTTTGACCTTCCCCACCCTGGACTTAGTTTGCTTTGCATGATAGTTTTGCATTGGAATGGCAATAGTTTTGTTTTATTGAGCATGATTTTTAGTTTTGGGGGTCAATCCTAATTTCTTTTCTATTTCCTTTTCTTTCCTCAATGTCTGCTGCACCCCGTTGCGTCTCCTCCATCCATCTCGTCGCCGTGGTTATGCTGCTCCGTAACACTGCATTACGGTCCTGGCACACCCGCACACAACCACCCACCCTCCTTCCTTCCCCCTCCACCCCTCCGCCTCTGTGCATCGTTATCAAAAAAAACTGGTGGATGTCTCGGTGCTTGTTGTCCAATTAGGGTGAAAATTCCTTCCTACAGGCGACCGTGGCAAAACTGGGACCTCTGCCTCGTATTCTTGCCGATATCACCAAATCAATGACCAACCCTACGCCGATACAGCAGCAGCTGAGGCGTTTCACTGAGCACAGCTCTAGTCCAAACATCAGTGGCAGCCTCTCCTCAGGGCTTCAGAAGATATTTGAGGACCCCACTGATGGGTATGTAATGGCCAGAGCTCGGGGAAAGATGTGGGGTGAGGGGCTTGTTAAGCCTGTAGAGCGTTGGGCGCTTTGTCACCTGGGCTGGCTGTAGGAGCCCCCGTCACAGGGAATGCGTGGTCCCAGTAGGGTGGCCCTGGAGACCTGAGGCTTCTGGCTTACCCAGGGCTCAGACGTGTCTCTGGGGGTCGGTAACTTCAACTGCTAAAAGCCAGTTGTGTGGTTTACTGCCGGTCTGAGTGACGGGGTATAGAGCCAGCCGGAATGCTTCCTTCTGGTGATCAGGCTGCGTATTTACTGCTAATGAACGAACTGGGCTGTCAATGGAACTTGTTACCAGTGGAGCAGCAAAAATAGTCCCTTCTCTGTTCAGTGCAGCTTTTCTGACACGGTAATCGCTGTTAATCTGAAGCAAAAAGCTGTGACATGGCAGAACTTGCCAAGGAGCTTGGGTACTGTGGTCTCCGAGCAGCTTCTGTGCTGTTGGGTGTGAGGGCCAGTTCAGTCATGTGGAAGCGTCTTCCCTCTGAGCTCACGTCTAGATGTGCAGGAGCCTTCGCCCAGCCTCTGCTGAGCCTTCAGATGGCCACGATATGTACTGCTGGTGAAGGGTCGGACGGGATCTGAGCTGCTCTGAAGCCTTGCTGGAGACAGAAGTGTCGGGGTGGAGGATTTGGTGGGAACGGTTTGTATTTTACCTGTGAAAAATAAAGATGAAGCACTTCTTGAATCAAACACAATTCTCAAAGATAAGCGGTAATTAAGGAGAAGTGTGTTCTGACTTGAACGCAAAGAGCTCATAAAAGGAAATGTGGTTCCTTGAAGCTTTCGGCTGGGGGGAGGTTAAATGAGCTAGAGAGACTTCTCTGGGACAGATCTCTCAGGGTCTCAGCTGCTTAAAAATTAACCAGATCCCTTTCCACTCCACAGCGACTTGCATAAGCTGAAGTCTCCAACCCAGGAAAATGTAGATGGATATTTGAGGGGCAAGACCTTGCTGTTGGTTCAG